ATTCCCTCCTGCTCCTTTATTAAGACTGTGCAAATTGTTCACATGCTGCAGTAAATGCAATATTTATCCAGACAAAATACAATATAATGATAGAGTAACAGTGCATATGGATAGATAAGAGTTTTGTGTTCTCCAACTTCTTTCTGCCAAAGCTAAGCACACAGTTCTTTGTTCTTTTGCTGAACGACACGACTGTTTTCTTTTTTTAACCATAATAGTAGCTTGGGAAGTTGGGGCCTTGAATTGGGAGTAGTGGTATAAGGGCCATTTGTCGTCCTACAGTTTGCCCCTGAGTCTTGTGATATAGCTAATTTTACTCAGGGAGTTGCGAACCACAAATTTTTTGTGATAATGGCGTAGTGATCATTGGGGAATATGATTGTTTTGATAGACCAGATGTGGAGATTCTGACCGGCTCTCTCTCTGACTGCCCTGCTTGTATCCTCTCCTTTCAGATTGTCTCTTCAGCCTCCACAGACCTCCAGGACTACACCTATTACTTTGTGCCAGCCCCTTGGCTCTCAGTCAAGCTTCTGCGGCTGCTGCAGTGTTACCCTCCCCCAGGTAACAAATGCTCAGTGAAGTCAAAGATAGCACTGGAATATGCTGGCTTCCTGGAGTAGAATATTTGCCTGAACATCTTGCCGATTTCCTTAGTAAAAGGCACAGAAGCATCACATCTTTTTATTATTAATCTGTTTTACCTCGTTTTACCCCTTCATCACAACACCAATTTTTATTTATAATTCAGGATAATTGACTGCTTTGAATGCATTTTGGCAAATAGGATATGAATTTAATAAATAAAGTTTTTATTTAAGTCTCTTTTCTAGGCCTGTTTAAGGACCTCCCTTTTTCCTGCTCTATTAATGAGCCTGCACAAACATTGTGCTCATGCCTTTCCTATTCTCCTCTCCCTTGGCATTTGATGAAGGAAGAGATCCTGATAATACCTATTATTTTTCAAATATTCCAAAAACACTGAGCTTTGGTTGCGTTTCCCTATGGAGACTTTCAGAGCAACAGAGAACGGATGGCCAGATCGATCCTCAGGGGGTGGGTGGAGAGATGTGATGACTGGCCAATAGGGATCAGATTCACTAACAGAGGAGCTCAAGAAAGGCATTTCAAGACTTTCAGAGGCTGCATTTGACTCTTGGACTGCTGTGAGCATAGCAAGAAGGGAGCCAAGCAATGAAAAAACAAATGTGCTTTGCACACTGAAGATCACCTCCACTCTATCAAAGTAAAATAGTTGAAATAGACTTCTGCCAGAAATTTGATGAACTGAGGTCCCATTAGAATGGAACAGGATTCAGGGAAAGGTAGCTTTGCAGATTGTACATAACAAAAATGGATCTGCTCCAAATCTCCCAGATCATGATCTGGCCTGCATCGACTCAAGGTCAGAAGAATGCTCCAGAAAGGCTTCACTCTGAAATCTTTTTATTGGGGGCAGGAAAGTCTGGGCTTAGTCTACTCTGTGCGTCATCGTCTTCTGCAAATGCTGGCAACTGGGGCATATACCTTCTGATTGGGCCCGCTGCTTCAGCTCCTCCAAAATTGGTGCTGTTGCATGCTCAAACATCTTTTGCAGCACCTCTATATTCGCAGTGCTGTAGCTGTTGGTAGGAAATGAACCAGGAAGTGAAATAAAAAAGTCAGTTCGAAGAGGGTTAAAAAATACTGTTAGCAGGAGAAAAGAAAGGGGAGGGGAGAGGAGAGGAGAAGATGTGAAAATTCTAAGCTTAAAGAGAATTTTTAAAAAGCCATTTAAAATCCAGGTCCTTTTCATTCTTCTAAACATACTTGCCATTATCATAAGCTTTAGCAACTTGACCTTTTCCAAAGAAATGAAAAACAGATGATGTCAAGAATATAAAGCCAATGCCAGATACTGGATGTTATAGAAATCTCCATTTTCAGCAGCAGCCAATTAACTGCTCATGTGATTAGTCAAATTAATGGCTTCTGTAATACCGAACCTTCTCTTTTGTGAACTGGAAAATTGAAATTACTTGCTGGTCCATGAAAGGAAATCTGTAATGTTAAATCAGTGTTTTGGGTTAACATACTGTTTATGGACGGTTTAAGTAAGGAGTTTTTTGGGAGGGTAGTACTTGGTAGAAAAATCTTAGTTTGTAACTGTTCTCATTCATCATGTCCATCCAATAAGAGAGTGTTTCTCACCCTTGGCAATGTCATGCTGGATAGACTTTAGCTCATGGTATAGATCAGGGATAGTCAACCTTGGCTCTTTTATGACTCGTAGACTTCAACTCCCAGAATTCCTGAGCCAGCTAAGCTGGCTCAGGAATTCTGGGAATTGAAGTCCATGAGTCATAAAAGAGCCAAGGTTGACTACCCCTGGTATAGATTCTCCTGCTTGAGCAGGGGGCTGGACTAGAAGACCTCCTTTCCAGCTCTGTTCTGTTCTGTTCTGTTCTATTCTATTCATAAAAAGTGGAGGATTCTAGGAATTGAGATCCATAGCATAAAATTGTCAAGCTTGAGATTACTGCAATAAGCTATGACAAAGGTAGTCATGCTCAGAGACCCCTCATTTAAGTTGCATTATTTGGAGCACCCAGGACTACTTTTTTACTGTGCCTGCCCTCTTATACAGCACTCTTCCCAAAATTCAGATGGCCCTGGCCATATGTTTCAAAGGCCTGAGACCTGGCTTTTTCTTAGACACTGAGTATGGAGGTTTTCTCCCAGCTGACCATTTCTGGATTTACTTTGGTTGATAAAGTTAATTTTATTGTATTTTAATGTTGAAGGGTTTATTACTTGTTTTCTATTGGTGTAAACTGCTCTAGTTCATATGCCAACTGGAAAGCTATTAAATTGATTTAATCAGTCAATTGATCATGCTAAGCCATAATATGGTAAGTTTGGTTTTATCTTAGCTTTGGTCACCCTTGGGGATTACAAAGCATAGCTTATATCAAGTCCAGCACCTCATCTGCAATGCCCAAAACATCACAGAATGTCACAATTTAAAGGCAGAATGTTAAATTTTTATGTTTTTGAGTCAAAAACAGCAAATAAGATGGGAATGGGAGTCTGAGCCCAGAAGATGTAATACATTTATATTTTTAACAATTTCTTCTGTCGGAAGCAGCAGAAAACCTCTCTAGAACATCCCTCCTTGGATAAGCAAGTCATTGGAAGATTTCCTGCAGCCTACCAGCAGGCTGGAAATTTAAAGTGTAATCCAGGCCTATCTTTGATTTATGGCTTAACATGTGTGAATTTAGCCAATGCAAATAGTCATCGTTAATGACACATCACTCATATTTATGGATGCTTGCAGATGATTTTCTGATGTTTGTTCGCTTAATAGCCTCCACAAAAAAATGTTGTAAAATCAGGTGCGGTCAGATGGTGACCTGCTTTATTTATTTATTTATTTATTATTTAGATTTATATCCCGCCCTTCTCCTCGTAGGACTCAGGGCGGCTGACAATCAATTAAAATACATAAATAACAATACAGGTTTAAAATTAATTTAAAAGAAATATTAGAGATTGTCCAATTTAAAATATTGATTAAAACCCCTCTAAAAATTACCCTAGGCCAGTCCTGCGAGCT